GGCACACTAGTGTGCCACGGCACAGTGGTTGAAAAACACTGGTCTAGAAAAGGCATCAGTAGCTTTACTAACTTGTACTTGGGAGATCACCCCCACAAGCAAATGCTCCCGTACGGGGTTGTACTTATTTATGAACCAATTTTTAACAAACTAAACATTAATCAATTTTTGAAAAGGAAGATAGTGATTTCCAGGCATTTATACATTTATAGCAGTAGAAATCAGTTTTCCATGTGATGACTCTTCAGAGAAAATTTGTTACATTTCTGAAGATAAGTAAATTACCAGAAACTTTACACTCCTGTTCTTTCCAAACCTCACCATCTTCAGTGTGAATAATGCATGCAAGCATTCATTGACAAAACTCCAAAACTGGCACAATTTTCTATTGTATGGTTATTACCTTCTAAAGTAGAAGTTTGCAATAAATAACTTAGATGCATTTTGGAAATCACTAAGCTTTCTAAAACCATATTATAGCCACGGTTTCTCACAAATGACACACAGGCTTTGAAATCATTAATATCCATAATTGTACTATAGATCAAACTTTTTAAGGAAAACTCAATGTAACATCGGCTTAGGTCAATTATACTGCATTTGACTTCAGATCACTTATGCAGTCTGTTTTCTAGTGCTAACTTACCATCACTCTTTTACAGTGGATATTACTTCCAGAGATATCAGAAATCTATTTACCAGAACCAATTACTATAATAATTTGTTTTTAATACATGCACTGTGTAGGTTTCTGTATCTTGTATGACTTTAAGCCACAAGGTTATCTTGTAAGGAGGACAGCCAATAAATTTATAAATACTATACACATTAAGATTAATCAGGCCACTGGAACAAGCAATAAAGCATATTTTTCAAGTTTTCTAGTTATACCACTTTTGAAGAGAGTATCTGTTCTGCAATGAATAATCACAAACTCATTTGAGCTTAGAAAAAAATATGGGACAGATTTCATAGTTTCCAGAAAGAGAAGCCTGCTTCCTCTATTTTAGTATAGTATAAAAATACCCAACGAACATACATGTAGAGCTGAAAGTTATGACTTTTTTTAATGAAGAAATGGTTATTTTAAGCAGAATGCCTTTCCTTCAAAAGCATCTTTTAAAAATCTGAACACCAGAACTGTTATCGTACTCTATTATACAATTATCACAACTCAAAACATCAGCTGCATTATGTAGAATGGTTTACCAAACTAAGAAATACACCGTGAAATTAGAAAACCATAAATGAATTTTTCCAAAGTGAAATTGAAATCATTAGTGTCCCATAATTTTGAAAATTTTTACTGAAAAATCAACATTAGAAAGAAAAAACATGTAGAATTCCCCCAAAAAGGGGTTTTTATTTGATACAGTTGCTACATCAAGCCACCAAGGACAAGATCAGTCCAGAATAGTAAAGCTCAGGGATGCCATCCTCAAAGGATCACTGCTCCCAGGCTTGAAGATGGAATCAGGAGTCTTCTAGCAGCAGCAAAAAGAAGGCATTATCTGGAAGTCGGTTTCCCAAGGCTCCACCCTTCCATGCTGTTTTGCAGCTTCAGTAGCACTGTGAATGATGTCTACTTGGACCTCTGCCTCATCTTTCTCCTTTTACGCTTCAGTCTAGAAAAAATAATATTAACTGAAAATCCTAAAGTAATATCACTATTTAATAGTTTAAACTAAGACTCAGGGCATTTCTGTCAAAACACAAGATGCTTGCAAAAATAGAACTTTGAAGACAGCATATAGGATGACTAAATTGAGATATAGAACTTATTTAGATCTCCAGATCCATTTCTGGAGCAAGTTAAGACTGAACATTTCAGGAGACATCAAACCGAAATTCCAATAACCATTATTGCAATATTTAGTTTAATAATTGCTATTTTTCTTCTAATAGAAACTTCCACAGCATAGAAAAAAAGCAAATCCATTATAAATTTCCAGATCAACATGTACAGGTTTGATGATTACTGATTCAGTTTTCTTGGTAGCATTACTGGTGGTTTCCCAGAAATTCTCAGATAGTCCAGCCAATCCAAATCAGCCAATGTCAGCCAGCTGGGGCAGTCACTATCTTTATATTATTTATATAAATAAATATCCATGAAGTAATAACAGGAGATACAAAGATACATGGCAATTTTTATTTTTACCTATTCAAGAAACTTATGCTCCTATGAAATATTTAAAGCATTAAAAAAATCAAACTAATCCTAACCCCTTAAAGCCTCCCATCTATAGAAACAGATACATTAATAAACATTGCATGAAATATACTTGGGCACATTCTGCTTCTTTATGTTATCAAGTCTTAAAACTCCTGAATTTATTAAACAAAGATGTCCATTTGTTGGCCCCTGAAATGTTCAGGCTTAAGCTTTTAACCTGTGCAGACATATTGAATATATTATTCATTTAAAACAGTACAGTAACAAGAAACTGGATACAATAGGCACTACAGACACTAGTTTTGAAGTAACCTGTTTCTCGAATGTTGCTTTTAGCAGTCCCCAAACTCTTAACCATTTCTTACTGTTATCAATTCAAGATTAGACCTTGCAATTCTAGTTATATTTCTGCTATCAATTTGACAAAAGTTTTCACATTTGGATGCACAATAGTAAGAATCTCCGCTTCAAGGTAGTCAGTTGCAATCCCAGGTACAAAAGAATATGAATTTGCATAAAGATAGGTTCATAGTTCAAGTCACCTAGTTTCTAAGATCAACCATGAGCTTTGACATACTACTACTTAATTTTAAACAAGCCACGAATAAAAATGTCTTATCAGAGATTGGTTAAGAACATCTAATAGTCTTTTAGAGCAAGCAAACACAATAAAATAAAAACATGCTCACATACCTGCGCATTCGCTTCTTTCGCCACTAAAAATTGTGGGAGGAAAAAAAATCACATTAGAATTTCTGATTACATCATTGATACAAAGTAATACATTGTTACACATTTAAAATTATATTTTGCAAAATTTCACCAAGGTGTAAATCAATTGATAATTGTAGAAATGAGTAAAAAGCTGCAAAAGTTCTTCAACATGAAAATGAATTCTGCATTTAAATCAATATGGTGTATATAGAATATTACCCAATACATCTATACATTTAGGTAAAGTATCTACAAAACCTCTTCAGCACTGCATGCTACTGCGGAGCAAGAGTTACTTATATACATAATAGCTATTCAGAAGTTAGTGATCAATTAATAATATATGCTTCATCAGAAGCGAGGCCCAAAGAGTTCAACAGGGCTATTATCAAAGGATTTGATGGGAAGATATTTAAACTAAAAACTGAACATCTCCATTTAAATGAAAGCTTTTTCAGACGAGTTCCCATGTTTAAAATATTACTTAGACCGCTTTAAAAAACCTCCCATGCGTCACTGTCATTCCTCCATGCTACATACGACACGCTTCCTTTTTAAAATAAAGTAATCGAGGCTTCAGCCCCGAGTTTAGCATAGAGGCTCAAAATAGCTTTATTCCGCCAGAGCCATTCGACCATTATTTTCAGTTTGTTTCAAACCGTCCCTCC